AATACCTCCTTATCTCTGTCTCTATCATCCCTAAATTAATTTTGTTGATATGAAGACGTATCTATGTATAATGAACACCGTATTACGTAATAACAAAATAATTGATCTTTTCATAAAAGTTGTGCATTATCAAGAATTTTTTTTCATTTAGATCATGAACACATTGATGTTAGACCACCGTTGAAAACCTGGAAGCACTGGATGGCCGTTCCGTGATATTGTGGATGCGCAATACTGAGGAGTCTTACAATAGAACGAAACGGCCGTCCAGTGCTTCCAGGTTTCCAACGGTGGTCTAACATCAATCGGTTCATGATCTCAACTAAAAACTTAATAATCTCCACAACTCCTATACTGATAATTATCAAAAGTGTCATATCACATATACATATCATAGAGAGATATTGTACTATATTTAAGGTTTATCTATATATGATTATCATTGTTGACAAATACAAAAAAATAAAATGATTTATGCATTGGTCTGGTGTAAACAATGTTACGTGTGTGTACGTCTACTTCAGATGTACATATGAAAACATGTTTAATTTGTACGCCTCTACATCCATTATAGATTTATATCAAGTGTGATACTAACATCATAGACATGATTGAACATCGTTGATCATAACTTCTCATTAAAACTTCAGGAAGTAATCTTGAAGCCAAACAGACGGAAGTAAACCAAATGAATACCTTGAACGACTTATTAGTTCATCAGAAATTTGTGTTTGGTTATAAAACAACTTAGAATATAAAGAGTTATGAGATTACGATGATAAAACAATTTTGACATGACTTTAGAATCCTTCTATGTTGAATTATTCATTATAGTAAAATAGTCAAACGATAGTGTTAAGAGTTAGGGTTGGGGTGAGGTGGTACCTTGTTTCTGTAATGATGAATACTTTGTCAGATGGAATTTAAGTCTCAAAAACTTTTAAGTCACCTCGGAAATGCACAAGTCCTATTAGGATGTTGTGTACGTTTCAATTCTACTTGTTTTCCACTGTATTTTCATGCACATTAATTATCACTTACTCGTTGTAATCTTAAGAGACGGTCAAACCCTTCGTATTATATAGTCATATAACGGTTGTTATGTCAATTTTAAATGTCTCTGTAACTAACTATTGGTAGATTTTATTACATCCCCATACAGCTTTTATTAAGGTATAAACTGTGTGTCACCATGATTTGAATTTTGCACAAAAATCAATTAGCTGCTATCTTAGATTTGATTAGTTATTCAGCCAAGTATACTTTTATCACTCAAAGTTCAACCCGAGAACATTTTATTTACAATGGTTTCCTAGTAAACTGTCAGCTCGTGATGAATACAAACCTCAATCTAAACTGGTCTGTACAAATCATTCAACCAAGACTCTCCATGTTATATATTCTATCACATGAATTAACAGATAAACTGTGATCTACCATGTTCATTCATCATTTACGTTAATTTTGTACATATATGTCGAATTTGAAGCAAACGTCATTTACTATTTCATTTCTCACTTTCCCTGTTTCGCATTTGTACTTGATATGTTCTTCCATCTCCATGAGTGACTGATATTATCTTAACACTATTTTTCATTGCTTACAGATGTAAACAAATGAAATCGTCCAGACATGATACTAATCTGTAACTCTGTTTGTCAACAAATACCACTTCACTTAGGACATTTAAAGAAATGTTTGCTTTTGTTTTTTCATCTAAGGTTTCTGTAGTGACTTTAAAATATCTCGAAGATCAAGCTGATATATCACTTTGTAAATCTTTCATTATGAGAGCTGTATTTATGGTACACTGATATTAGCACTGTTTTTTACGACCTCAGACAAGTGTTTATGTCTATCGATGATGGCTAAATATCGGAATCATAATACCAACACTTCTTATCATTTATTGTTGAATATACCCTGAACTTAGTTTTGTGAACATATACTGAAGTTTGCCCGTCATACGTCTACTTCATTTCCTGTTTTCCGTATTCCCCAAATGCAATTGAAGCGCTTTTGTGCCTTCATAATTCGCTGGATTTTTTCTAACAGTGGTTAGAACTTTAGATAAAGTTGAATAGTGGCTAGCAGTGAAATTTTGGAAGGTCGTTTCTCCCATTTTGGGACTCTTCAACTGTATATGCCTGCACCTCAATGTTGGTATTCACACCGGTACTGTAACCCAGTACATTTTACCAAAGTAGACTGATCAACTGTAATTCTCAGTATCAACGAACTTTAAACAACCCTTATTAATGAATTATTATTTAGAGTTGTTTACAGTAGCATCATAATACAAGTTTTTCTGGTGCTCATACACGTTTAATTGAAGCACCCAATTAATTAGAATGGGTAAATTAGACAGGAAGCCTTCATTTTTGTATAACATGCGAAAATCACTAATTAACTTCATTCTTATGACACGTTGATGTCAGCACACTTTCAACAACTTAACATGAAATTTTCATTTCACCAGACTAGAATCAAATGTACCTATTTAAATAATTATTCTATGATCACACCATACTACTAATATTTACACTCATGAATGGTTGTATGTGCTCTGACTACATATCAGCGTAATTTGATTTGTATGTGTGTTGTGTTTCTCTCGAGCTCAGTTTCTATTAAATCTATCACTCCCAATTCCTTAATTGTAATTACTAAGCCCATCTTATACGGAAACCTATTGACAATATTCCAACTCTTCAATAAATATATTGCACTTGATTTGTCAGTCAGATTGTTTCGGGTAGACACACATGAATACATGATTACATGTAATTTAGGTAAAGAATTTCTAAAGTTGACTTCCTTAAATGGTATTCGTTAGTATCTCAAATGATACAATGAGTTTTACTAGCTAAATTATTGAACTGAATTACAATGAATGATCTATTCTCTTGTCATAAATTAGAGTTGTATATTGAGCATTAGGTTGTCAATTGTCCTTACGTGATATTCAAAACTCCGTAATACAGATAATATTGAATTAATGGTAGCGAGTATCCACTGGCAATGTTCACATTACGCTGTCTTGTACGAATAAGTTGACTTGATTATGATAAGAAGATTGATCCACTGAGGTGACCACATAGTCGACTTGTTAATCGACAACATGACGAAACAACTGTTGTTAGCTCCCAGATGTTCTATAGTACTAAACCTGGAAATGACCTGTTGAATTCGACTTACAAATTACTAAATGCATCAAATTATTCTCATTTTAACACTTCAATTTGAAGTAGAATATAAATTATATGCAGTGATTATATTGTAAAAACGCCATAGTTACAAACATGATTCAATGACTGAATTAAACAATCAGTGAATGAATGAACTATGGATGAAAAAAGTTTTATTGTTTAAAATTATGAAAAATTATTTATATTTCCCACAAAACATCCAACACAAGTGTTACAGTCTGTTCACAATAGTTAATGTGTATTTCAATGTGTTTCCGTTGGTTGGTAATATGCATATTGTTACATGACGACATATATAGGTATATACCCTTCGAAGTTATACTAACCTAGTTTAATAGATATTTGTAATGGTATAAAACACTTCAATCATGATTGGTAGGATGTTCAATGCACCATTAAACATGATCACATTCATGCATACATTGAATGTCGAACTGTATTGTTGAAGTCTTTATTCACAAATATGTAGTGATTGTTTACTGAGATGGAAAAAACAAACATTAATATGAATGTTTACAATGTTTACATATTATGTAATGGTGTAATTAAAGAATAATAATAATAATTTTTATCATTATATATACATATAATTGTTACAAGACATGTCTCTTTCTCAGTGAAATACACTGAATACTTATGTGTAAGTGATTGCATGCAATCTAGCAGTGATTGATTATGTACGTCAATCATTAAAGTGTCCAATTAGTGTGTGTTTAAGTGAGTGTAGAGCTAGAAAAATGGTTTTTAATGGATATGAATAGGTTTTATATGAGAAACATTACATTGTTACTATGTGCTACTGCCATAGATTTGGTAATAGTTGAATATTTATAGATGTTTAAGTAAGGGACATTTGTAAAGATTTGTGTTCAGTTATCTGAACTCAGTAGCTTATTGAATAGCACGGTATTTAAAACTATGTGAACATCAAGAAACCGATGAGTAGATCCACTTCCTTATTGAACGAATAGAATGTTTATATCATCAGTCGAAAGAGTTTGAATTATCTCGTTGTAGGATAGAATGTTAATCAGTCCTTGTTACCAAATATACATCTTGTATAGATGTTCGCAAATTAGCCGTTTTATCACACGTTTTAAAGAATGAATGTGTTGTGTCTAGCAGTAGAGTCCAAAACGTACATTTCATCCTATTTGAGAGACATCAGTTCGATGTACTTATAAACCATTGTTGATGTACACAATGAGACTTGAGTTCAGCATCTTTCACTTGGAATGCCAATGCATTATGCACTGAGCTATTGAGTCCAGAAAACAATTATTTTGTTCAACAAATATTTTTTATCATTATTATTACCTACAACAGTAAAACAATATCGCTTACTAATTATAACTTTTTCGTAAGTATAGGAAGTTTTGTGGAGACTGTAGAATTTTCATATTTTAAATCACGAACTGTTCTAGTGAACAGTTGTAATGAATGTTATAGAACGATTCTCCACTTAGGGCAAAGGAAAATAATGGTGCTAAATCGTGGACGGATTGAAGTTGTACATGTACAACATTGATTGCTAGCTAAGTGATCTAGAGGTTGAGCATTCGAGTTCTAGACTGAATTTTATAGGTTCGACCTCTTGGAGTTAGCATGTGATTTTGGAAAAAAATATCTGTACCGTGTTTCCGCGTTTTTAGTAATGACCTTTGTAACGTTATGTTGTACAAACCGTAATTTTCTTTGGTTTTAGCTGAAAATTAATGAGTTTGAAGAAGAAGAATGACTGTTTCTTAAGATATAGATCTACATTTTTCTCTTCATTACTTTTCATTTCAGCTCCTGATCTACATCGTCAAAAACATTTCAATCAACAATTATCAAATCATAATTTAACAAATAATCAAACTAAAATTTCTATCAATGTTACAAATCTTAAATACAATTATAGTAACCGTTATAATAATGATTATTCAACATTAAACAATACTGATTACATTAAAACAAAAGCCTCAACAACAATACCAACAACATTTACACATAAGACTACAACAATTGATAACTGTTACCAAGTTAATTTAAAAAGTATTATCAATTTATCTGATAAAAATATTGATTATTTGAATACTAAACGATCTCCAGTGAAGTTTGCCAATAATCATACGGAACAATTTAACGAAAATGTGTAAGTTTTATTTGTTTGTTTTGTTTGTATGATCAATATTATATCACCGTTTTCTTCAGTGTGTTGTATAATGCTCAATAAGTGTGTTGCCTAGTAGGTGAATATTGAGAGTTAGAATGTGATTTTCACTAAATACTTCGTTTTAGGTATTTCAATTTATTCTTAACTGAATATTTTGAGTGGTATCGTAGATCAAACTATTGAATAATAGAACACATAAATATTTGAAGTTAGAGCTGGTAGTTACATGTCCAATGAAGAATACACTGTGATATACATTAATTACCTACAAAATGTTCGGGGAAATGGCTGACATTGATGGGTATAATATATTTCAATAGTTGAGATCATGAGTCAATTGAATCTATACCACCATAGAAATCCTAGAAGTACTGGACGAAACAGCCGTCCACAAAAACCCCTTCTGATACTAATCAACATATGCTCACTAGAGACTGGTTTCAAGAGATATTTACCGGAATTCTAGTGAGAAGCAGTGATCAGTGGAGTTCAACCAGGTCTGTTGTGAGATAGTCACTCACTGATGACAATGGTGGATATGTAGCTCAATTTCATGGATTAATTGAACATAGAAATTAAACCGATCGGATGCTGACAGGCTCAGTGGTCTAGAGGTTGAGAGTTCGCTTGTGAGACCGATAGGTCCTGGGTTCGAATATGACGAAGTGGGATCGTTGATGTTCAGTGGTAAGGACAAAATGACCGTCCAGTGCTTCCAGGTTTTCCACGATGGTCTAACTCCGAATGACTCATGATCTCAACTATTAAAATTATTATAACATTCACAAAAACCCCTTGCGATATATTTGTTGAAAATTGGAAACGCTCACGTTGATTTCAACCTTGTTTTTCCTAGTAAATAATAGGGAATGTCAGTTCATTATGACTTTCAGATTTTGGAGGTTATATGATGGATATTTTTTTATTCTGTACTGTCGTTTGTTACTGAACTAATACTATTGAATCGTTTACAACCACATCTGTCCTATAAATTTTATCATTTAAATTTGTTCATAACAGTAGTTGGAAATAAGATAATCTGAAGTTATTTTAACGGATAATTGAAATTATATGACATTCATTCTATTTAAAAGTTAAGCTGTTTAAAATTAAACTTTATGTCCTTGGTCCTTGTTCATATTAAACACATAGATGGTTTCTTAAGTGAATGATCGTGATGTTTTGGAGATTTTGATTCTTTAGAATTTTATTTTAAAGTTTTGTGAATATTTTGTCTTTTTTTTTCAATTTTCTAGTTGCTAATCATGTCCTTCAATCTTAATTGATTGGAGGGTTCCAGTAGAAAACTTCGGACATAGGTTTAAGTACCAGTTACAACTCGTCACCAAGATGTACTTGTAATGTTAAGGGAACTGATGCTACCTGAAAAATTTAAACCCTTCTCACTTAACCTCACAGTATGAGACATTAAAACTGAGCTATTCGAGCCAGATTGTGAAGATGAATGATCCGGTCTCGAACCTACTAATTTTTTTCTGATGTGTAGATAGCATCAATTTGAATCGTGCACAATCCACTAGTCGTATCAACACGGTAAATACGATTAACTTATAAGTAGTAACATGTGACATCCCGAAGCCTCAATTGTTTTTGACTTTTAAGCTACTTAAATCATTATTCAGCATTAGTATAATGTGTGCTACTAATATCGACAGATATAAGTAGTATGTATCACCAATTGAAGGTAAAATGCCTGACAGCAGAAGATTAAGAAGATTGAAGTGAATAGAACGAGAACAGAGAAATGATTGATATGTAAACAAAGTAACAATGTAGTCTGAAACAATTGATTGATATTTTGCAAATGAACTATTTACTATATAATTCTCAGATTTGACTAAGTTGTTTTGTACTTTCGTATGCAAATGCACTCGATTGTCCACACTCATGTTCTTGTTCACTACAATAGTAGTATGAGTAGTAGTAATATTAATATTTATTATCCAAGTTGGACCACACACATATATATATATATATATAAGTACACATTATCATGTCTTATTTCTAAATGGAATAATATACTAACTAATAGGAAACAAACAAATATAAACTTACATTGAAGAAACAGTTTTTTTTTCTTCTATCCTTTACATACTGTATACGTATACAGCACGTCTTGCATTTCTTCACAAGTTGAAAAATATCAACCACATATAAGTAATTTTGAAAATCACCTGTTCTCCAGGAGGAAGAATAGTTGAAAAGGTAATAATAATAATAATCCATAATAGCAAACGATGGAAAATGTTAAACACGCGAGCTATTATACCTATCAACATATATTGTTACTATCAATATTATTATTATTATCATTATCACAATTATTATTATTATTATTATTTAAAAACCCCTTGACATTTAAAACTGATATTCAAACAACTAGTATATGTATGTATATATGTATGTATATTGATAAAGAAACAGGGAATGTACCAAATCCTCTTCCTTCTATATTCATTTAGTTTGCAAAACATTTACTTCCTTTTCGTGCCTTATATAAATCAATAATAATTACATTTCATGTGTATCATAGTGATGGTATTAAAGGTCTATAGGCAATTTATATATACATATATGTAAATGAAAGTATATACAATTACCTTATTTATTTAAAATTACGATTAAATAACTAACAAACTAATTAGATTGTACTTTATATTAAATTCATTTATATCATTTAATGGATAGATTGACTATAAAATGATTTAATTATATGCTAAATTAATGATTTTATAATGATTCAATGATGAAAGTAAAAATAGAAGGTCCTAGGTTCGATTACTGGTGAAGAAGTTATAGATGTGTAATCTTGAAGAGTTACATACTGGGACAAAACAGTCATTTATTTCATATTGATTTTTGATTGGTATTCCGAATGAGGTCAATCAATGACGTATATCATCTAAAAATATCTTCAGAAAACCTTTACAAAATTGAATGATAGATAGATATGTAGTAAATCTTTCGAATAGTTGAAAGCAAAATGACCTGGTTACAAACCGCAGAATCATTTTGATAAACAAGTTATATTGATTATTATTAGTAATATTGTGTCTATATAGATAATGAGTGAAATTTGGTTTGATAGACTTACTAGTTCATCCTTTGTCAATTTGTTAACATTCTTTTATGGTAAATAATAATAATAATGTATCTAATGCAGATTTAGATCCAAATAGTTTTCATGAAGCTGTATTCCTGGAAGATATTATCAGTGATATCAACCTAATCGAAAGACGCGGAAAGTGACAGCTACTTTACGATGAATGACACTGAACAATAATCATCCTAAATTAATACTTGCATTATGATAATAGTTCGAGTAAGAGAATTCTGTTTAATACTGTAGCAGACACCAGAGCAACTAATTTTAGACTTGATCTCACTTAAAACATACAGCGATGGTTGTGCATTCTGTTGCAACGTGTGGTGTTCAAGAGTTCATACTGATATGTGAACTTCTAACATACAAACCCTACCGATTATTAGAATGAAAAGGAAGTTTATTGAATAAACGGAATCGATACATATAACTAAACCAATGGAGTATCTCTCATTCCTGAGATTTGGAAGCCATTTCAAGCCAATCAAATGTGCTTATTATTTGGCTGATTCCTGATTGGCTTAGTATGTCACAGTCCTGTGGGAGTCTGAAACATAGAACTAGTTCCTAGTTTACAGTAGTGGTTTTTCTGATGATTTCAATTTTTGTGTCATTGAAATAATCTTTATGCTATTCAAGACCTACATTAAACTACCATAGTGATTATCAACTATAATTTCTTTTACGAGTATAAAAAGTTAATATGAATTGTTGAATTTTCTCGTTTTGCATCATGGACTGATATTAATTTTACATCTACTGAACACAACAAAACTACTGGACAACTGTTTTTTTTTTCTTAGTATGGGGTTCACTGATTTCCATCCACAGTCTCACTATAGACCAAACTCAAGATTGTCATACCTTGCGGCGAACTTCTGACTTTTAATCGATTGAGCTGACACCTAGTTATTTACAATTCTAACTTTAATTAATCCATAATGTGATGCCGTGATCATTCAATCCTATTTGTAGGTAACTGCCTCAATCTTAACATGATCAAACTTAATTGGTCATAACATCTCATTGGATTTCCCATAATTAAATCTAAAAATTAGTCACTAGTGAGTACAAAATTATTATTAGTGAACAAGCTTTATGAAAATGATTGAATTTTGTAGTTTGACCTTTGTAACTATCCAGTGTCAATGTACACGTTGATATTTTAACCTGATACACATTATTTCAAATGCCAGTGTGTTTTATTTGCTTTAGCTTTTGTGCACATGTAAACTACAAGAAGGTTTATTACAATTTCTAATAGAAAGAAAAAGTATTTAAAGATTGTTCTCACCATAGTCTGTTATTACCTGGGGAACCGAGTAGTGCTGAACATTTATGTTATCTTAGCACAGACATTCTATTATGTTTGTGTTTATCATCTCACTCGTATTGGATTGAACTTATGTTCATTCAGTTTAGTCTACGAACAGGTTATTTAACACTACAGAGTTGAGCGATCTGTTGGTCTCCTTTTTCTAACTTCATCCTGCATTGGAAAATCAGCTTCGAACTGAAAAATCTTCATTGAAATCTCTTGAAAAAGGTAACTATCGATTAAAGCTCTTGGATGAATACAATATAGTAGACGAATTGTAGATAGCGATGGAATCCCGAATGCATGTTTCCTTTTGTTTGAAACTAGTCAGTCCGATATACCTGCATTCTACTTTGTTGATGATCACATAAAGGCTTTAACCCAATAACCTTCAATTCAGTCATGAAGGTAATATGCAATTGTTCAAAATTCCGTAGTTCTTCTTTCAAAAGTAACATCTTTAAGATGTAAATCTGTACTGAGCATATGTTGATTAGTATCAGAAAGGGTTTTTGTGGATATTATATTGATTTTAAT